GAATGGAATTTTGTCTGTCATGCTCAAGGGATGGAGTTTAAAAACAGGGAGGCTATGCTGCAGCTGCATAGGGTCTGGGTGAGGCCACACCTGGAGAACTGTGTGCAGTTTTGGTCTCCTTACTTGAGAAGGGATATACTAGCACTGGAGGGGGTGCAGAGGAGATTCATTCTGTTGATTCCAGAGTCGAGACAGTTGGATTATGAGGAGAGACTGAGTAGACTGGGATTATACTCATTGGAGTTCAGAAGAATGAGGGGAAATCTTATAGAAACATATAAGATTATGAAGGGAATAGATAAAGTGGAGGCAGGGAGGTTGTTTCCGCTAGCAGGTGAAACTAGGACTAGAGGGCATCGCCTCAAAATAAAAGGGAAGCAGATGTAGGACTGAGGTCAGGAGGAACTTCTTCACCCAAAGGGTTGTGAATCTGTGGAATTCTCTGCCCAGTGAAGTGGTTGAAGCTACCTCACTGAATGTTTTTAAGGCGAAGCTAGATAAATTTTTGAACAGTAAGGGAATTAAGGGTTATGGTGAGTGGGCGGGCAAGTGGAGCTGAGTCTCAAAAAGATCACCATGATTTTATTAAATGGCGGGGCAGGCTCAAGGGGCCAGATGGCCTACTCCTGTTCCTAGTTCTTATGTTCTTATATAGCATTGCAAACTGCATCCACAGTAGCAGCTGTCTTTACCTACGTCCCAGCAACTTGAGCTGATATGCCAGTGGCCAGGAATATTATGACCTCCACCTGATCTTCAACTGCAGCACTGAGACATCAGGAGGCCTCCACCTATGCTATGGTCGAAGCCAACATGGCAGCCGTGGCTCAGTTGCACAGTCCTGCCACGGCAGTGTTGCCCATTTACAATTAAAGAAAAGGAACCAGTTCTAGTAAAAAAAACTTGTAGAATTCAGATCAATAAGACAGTAAGTCCCAAGGCACATCGGTCTATCAAAAGAAGCTAGAGAATGCATACCAGAGATTCTGATTACAAGTTTTGCTATAAGAGGAAATGTGGCAACACCGAAATTTAGTTGATAGAAGTAAAACAAATACTCAGATTAGAGAAAGCTTGGAAATGAAATACTAAACATTCAGAGCTGGATCCACATATTTGTTTTTGGCACCAGTAAACCTGATTAAGACTTGAGCTAAGAGATCACAAAATTCAAACTGCAAACAATACTAAAGTTAGAGTTTTGGCAGACAATGAAGAAGACTATAAAGAATAAGTGTTAGTGATAAACAGTTAGTTGATAGTTTAACATTAGGAAGTGTGATTTCATGTATGTTCTGAGGGAATAAAAAGAATAAAGCTGGTAGTACATGCTGAAACAAAAGACATTAAAATGCACGAAACTGAGACCTAGACTTAAAAAAATAATTTTTAAACTTTGTATACAAAGGTGATAGGCCAAGTAATGTATACAATCTTGGTGGTATTTTACAGGAATTTCATTGAGATTGTAAGTTACAGGATCATACCAGGAATGAAAACTATAAATATGAAGCTTGACATATTGGGATTATCTCCAATTGTTTTGGATTTCTAATTCCTATTTAGAAATATATTGTTTAGGGAATCAGTAATGAGGGGTTGCCAATTTAACTTTATCACTAAGAAAATGAAGAGGATAATAGGAATTTCTTGACACAGAGAAGTGTCAACATATAATACTCTGTCATAGGGAGTAATAAAGATAGTAACGACCAAGTGGATGATAAGTAGTTGAAACAGAAAGGATTATAGGGCTAAGATGAGAAAGCAAGGCAGTAAAATTAGTTTTGAGTGTTTTATCAACATGCCAGCACAGATGCAATGGGACAAATGTTTTTCTTCTGTATTGTAGCCTATTGTTCAACCTATGTTGATAGTTTTCTAATATGGAGTAGTTCTGACCCTTGTTCTCTGTAGATTACAGTACAGTACAGCTAGTGAAAGTATCAATGAGCATACAAGAACATACAAGTAGCTAGAGATCATCGCACAAAAATATAGAGCAAACACATAACATGATAACATCTGGTATTGACATTGCTCAGCAGGAAAACCTAGCAATTTAGTATTTATTTGTTTTAAACAGTATGCTGAATGATGTGGATTCAACATAAGCAGATTTCATCAAGGAAGATATATTGAAATTAATAACGGTTTCTAGGAATACAAGGTTTATAATAATCTAGATGCAATACTTGAGTTGACTCGAATATTTAAGTTAAAAATCATGTTTAAACAAAGTAATTTTCACATAATGAGGGTTAGTTATATAAAATAATTAATGGTAAATTACTTTAACTGGTACTTGTGTAACTGTATTTTGTTGGAATTTTGCAGAATGTCACTATTAGTAAAGGTAATTACAAATAGTCACTATTTTTTAACCATATTTTCAAACAAATTCTTTATTCAAAAATTCTATATTCCCACATGTATAATATTTCTAAATTAAGCATCAAACTCAATCTTAAATCATCTCAACAGAAAATTTGAAATAAAACTAATTTGAAGTCATGTTGACTTTTTTTAAATTTCATTTGTTTTGCATACAAAATGGAACATACTGGCTCCTGTAACATCTTTGTATGAATTAAATCTGTTTGGCAATATTAGAATAAGATAATTTTTTTGTTGTTAAATCCAGAATCCCCTGAATGAAGGCCTTTATTTAACACAAGTTTCTCAGTAGCAAGCTAGAAAGAAGTGTATACTTAGTCTTATTTTGATCGAAGAGGGGAAATGCTGGTCTGCTACATGTTAACTGCAAGTAACTATTTAACAGTTTCTAGATGCCAAGTTTTCCACAAAACTATCTTGAAGCTCATCACAAATTGACAACGCATGCAAAACAATTTGGAGTAATTCCCGAATTTTTGTTTATACCTTGTTTTTCCTGAAATGATGTTGAACTGCCAAAGTTGAAGTACTTTGTACTCTAATGTCAGGACATATGTTCAAACATGCAAGTGTTGAAAGAACATGTTATTGGGCTGTAAACCATTCTTAGTCCTTAGCTTTGCAATTTTGCTGGAAAGAACCTAAAGTACAGTTCAATGATGATCAAATAATGTTATGAAATATTTGATAGTCAATGCCCCATAATGCTGAAGTGCAACCTGTAAAACTCTGATTTATAATACTTTGAGAATCCAGCAGCAGCTGGCTACTTGTACAAGGTCAGTTACACTAAGACTCTGAAAGCTAAAACTTGTAGCATTAACTGAAAAATATTTGTTTGGATGTCATGCATTTGAGAAATATTATTGTCCCTTAAGTTGAGAATGTCTGTTTTATATTTGAAGTATGAATGCCTGACAGCTGGCAGCATCAAAAGATAATATTATGACTAACAAGTTACAAAAATCAGATAATCAGTTATTGCTGGTTTCCTAAATGTAATTACATAAGTGCAATATAAAGTTTTATTGTTTTCTTGTCCACACTTTCCAATATCCATTTCCTGCACTAAAATGCATCTCTAAAAGTAAAAACCATTTCAAAATGCATATGCCCCATTTACTGTTTTGGGCAGATCAACAAAAATGTTTTGATAAAATTAAAGTGCAATTTTATCTAACAAAAATATCTGTAGTTTGGTGTTTTATTTAAAACCTTTTAAGTAATGAGAGATAACCATTCTGAAATTAGATAAAAATCATGTCACATTTTTAAAAACAAATTCCATGATAATAAAAGTCCTATCTAATTTTAAACACCAATTCCATTATATTATGTCACAAAACATTCAAACGAACTTGCAAAATGGAAAATAGCAGTTAACATTCAATGCGAAATCATCAATTGAAATGTTAAAAATTAATTGCTACTCAAAACTAGACGCTACAGCAGTCTTCTAGTTGCAGAGAAGTCAATTTTTAACACTAAATTATTCATCTGCTCAATGACTTGTACATCTATATTTCACAATCCCTTCCTCTCTAGCTACTTCAGACTTGTACAAAATGTTGTTCTTTCCTTTAAAATTTACTACCTCACCCTTACTAATAAGAAATTCATTTGTCACTTAATTGTCTATTCTGTAATCTCATTAATATCTGCCTGTATTTTGTTACATTCCTGTTTTGTATTAACTGCACAACCCTGCTCAGTATAGCTGTAAACTTTGAAAATGCACTTCTGATTCCCGCGTCTAAGTCATTAATATAAATAGTGAACCAGTGGTCCCAGCAGTGATCCCTATCGAACACATCTACTCACCAATTTGAATAGCTACTTTTAACGACTACTGTGTATTCTGCAATTTTTCCTGGACGCCACATGTTCTAACCTTAGTCATGATTCCACCATACAGTATCTAATCAAAGGTCTTTTGAAAATGCAAATGTATTTCATCCACTGTATTAATCTATAGAGACATTTAGCAAAATGAAACCTGGACAAAGACATGCCTTCTCCTGAAGAAGTGAAATTCATGCTAGTTCCAGGGATACTGGCAGCAGCATTGTACCTTAGCAAAGTAATTATTTTTCATGTGAAAAAGTGTAGATATCTATGTATTTTATTGCACGAGATCAGCCATAACAGCTTATAGAGTCAAATAGTCTGTCAACACTATAAGCTCTTATGACTAAGTCTGTTCTCATGCAAAATTCACATAAGTAAATTTGTAATGGAAAGGTTGATGGCATTGAATAGCAATCAGAAGCATAAATGCTGGCTCCCTATTCTGCCTCTTTCCAAGTGCTCAGTTATCATGCCAGCACCTCTCCCATCTTCATTCTGATGTATATGAGCTTAACTCAGCACACAGCACAAATTGAACTTGAGACCTTGCCTTTGTAATATGAATGGTTATGTACTTCACTAATGACAAATTAAGCTTTTATCCGGTCAGAAATTTTAGCAAAGCATGCATCTGTTCAGGATCATATCTATAAAGTTATGAATGTAAATGAAAATTTCTGGAAAAAGAAAGAAAGAATAATGAAAAAGCTGGTATTTTGACATTTGAGAAATCTTTGTTTTAACTTATCTCACAGGGAACCATCTGCAGATGTTTCACAGGATCCTGACATAACCAATGGAGTTTTAAACAGAGAACAAAATTGCAAAAGTACTAAACCAAAGCAAGAAGATAAGAATGGAAACAGGGTTAAAGATTCTGCCTGGGCATCTGCACCTGGTAGTGGGCTCCGGGATCAGATGCAGAGAAGATTAACATGTGCAAGGAAGACTGTTCCTGTTCCTGTAGTTACTGTTTATTCTGTAGAACAAAATGAGTATTCTGAGATATCAGAGCATCCCCGGAACAGACTAAATCAAACACAACCATTAAAGCACAATTATGTCAACCATTCAGTGGTTGATTTAACAATATATGACTTGGAAACTGAACTCGATGAGGACCACAGTGTCCAGGAGAACACACATGTTGACAGTTCACAGTCAAATGCTAATGAAAATCTTACTCTTATTGCCTGCACAAAGAATGACAGAGAAAAATCAAATACTTTTGGATCCAGTACATGGAAACCACAACGCTATGTTGTCATTGACCAAACTAACTTCTTGGCTAGACCTCAGAATATTCAACATAAACCATGTATTTCAAGTGTACAAATGGTCCGAAATAAGCTGTCACATACCAAACAATAATGCTTCCTTTTAAAAAGCTGATTATTTGATTACATAGGAAGTTCAGGGATGATTAAGGAAGAAATTAATGAAGATTTTTAAGTTTGAGGGGTTTTTATAGGAAAGGAAAAACTTTCCACTTGCAGGAGAATCAATAACCAGAATTTGCACATTTAAGATAATTGGGAAAAGGACCAGTTTGGGTTGGAAGAGGGATTATTTTACAGAGTGATTTATAATGATCTGGAATTCACTCCCAGGAAGATTGGTAGAAGTAGACTCAATAGTAAATATCAGAAACCATTGGACATACACTTGAAAAAGAAATATTTACAGGGTTATGGTCAAAGAGCAGCAAAATTATTTGGACAGCTGTTGCAGAGAGTTATCACAGGCATAATGAACCAATGGCTTCTGCTGTAGTCTAGGATAGTATATGAGCATTGTTGTGTAGTAAGGATTTTTTTTAAAAAGTTAAGATCGCTACCAAATCGGGAATGGACATGACAATTTATCAAGTGAGGAACAATTCATTTCGTAGATGTCTGCAATCTTTAAATCACTACAAGGATGTACTTGTTTCAAATAATCCATTCATAACCATTTACAAGTACTGTTTTAATCATTTATCTTGTGACTAATGTGAAGACCCAAAAATAAGCTTGGAGAAGTAGATTTAAGTATTACATGAGTATCTTAAGCAGACGATAGTTGGCGGTCATGGTCATGCTTTGGCACACAAGTGACATTGGAACAAAAAAATTGTTCAAAATTGAACTGGTGCCAGTCTTTTCTAGTTTGTTTTAATTACATTCTAATTGGGAAATGGTGTGATGAGCTTTAAGTTACCCTTATGAATAATCTGGAGGCTGCAACAGTTTCCTTGGATACTGTTCTTTTCCAGTTTGACCCTGCTAATGGACTCCCGTGAAAGATAATTGTGTCAAATACATTCCACCTGCTTTTGAGATTCTGTTAATATCAGCCAAATTAACTACTGCGAAAAGTAAGCTCAGGTTAACAACCACATTATCACAGCTCGCTTTAGCCAAGAATTCATCTTGATGCTTGGCTTTAATGCAGCTGGTAGGAAGATTACAGCTGTTATGTGCTATGCTTTAAACTCTGCATTGTACATGCAGTTTGTCAGTTTTAGAAATTATTTCAAGCAATTTATTTTGATTGAATATTTCTATCTAATTTAATCTGAAGGAGCAGAATAAAAATTAGTACACAAATTCTGATGTAAAGTATATTGTCACAGTCAAATTTCTTTTCTTCAGGGGACTGTAAATTCCATTAAGCCCTGAAAAATCATATGATTATGTTTTGTTGTTAATGATTAATATCTTTAACTGCAACATAGTTGTCGATTTTTGATTGCCTCAGAAATTAAGAATTATGATGATACAATGAGATGATTTAATCCCAGGTCCAGAAGCCATGTGATAGAAGGTTCGCTAAAATTATTTTAAAAATTAAACATTTTAGTTGTTCACAACCATGCTACTTTGTGCACAGGATTCGCTATTTTCTTTTAATGAGAACAGTGAGTTGTGCACCATCGCAAGTTGTGTTCATTAGACAGCTATATACCAGACTTCTGCAATTACATTGAATTAACAACTTCAGACTGAGATCATAATAATTATCTACAGTTTTATCTATTGTACTGAATGGATTTCAAAATATAATAAAGCCAACAAGAAAGTTGTCATATTTTGTTAGTTAGCTCCAATGTTTTGTCAAATGGCAAAGTCCAACACTTGTGACCAGTGTTTGTTACACAATATTGCAGGGCAATATCAATCAACAGTAAATAGTGTTCTAATCCAATAAGTTTTAAAATTAGGTAAGCATTTGGATATGCAGTATTCAGCAGAGAAGCATGCTGATGTAGAGGTCTGAAACAGCCATTTATCAATACTTTATTCCACATACTCTGTAACCTTAGTCATCATGTTGAAATCTGCATGTTATTCTTTTACATCTAACCATAGATACAGTGAGGCAATTGGCATAAAATAGTCAAGTAGTAATAAAGGGCTGCAAATATGGCCCATTGTTCATATAACATGCTCCAAAACATATTGGTAACCTTCTACAAATCTCTATGCATTTATTCATGCACAAACCAATGCATAATAAATAATTGACCAAACCTGCATGGAAGAAATATGCATGATGCCCAGTGAAAGAAAATAGTTCGTCAAGCTTCCCAGAATATTTTAATTAGTTATTCTTAAGAGAGTCATTTTTGTGTGGTGCCAGCAAAAAAAAAAAGAAGAATTCAAAGATATTCATTACTTGCCAACCTCAGCTCTGCTGTGCTTTTAATGAAAAAGCCATTGCTATGTTTTTCTGTATACAATTAGCTTACAAGAAATTCCAAAACAATGGTGAATCGTGACTGTTTGTCAACACTATGGGTGTAATCTTATTGAAATGTCAGGACTGTCACCTGTTGGTTGGAAGGGCAAAAGATTCACCCTTTTCAGTCAAGCTCACCAACCCATAAGTAAATCAGGAATGTCAAAACTAACGAATAGGCCTTCTCCTAAGAGCAAGATCCTGAAGGAAATGTTTTACCAAGAGTTGCCAACCTCTCTGGTGCTGGGGAGGCAATGGGTGTTGCGAGAAGAACAAGCATTAGAATCCCAGGATTACTGAATGACCCAAATCACAGATATAATGTTGAATTGGGCATGGCTAATTTCACAAGATAAGGGTCATGGGAAGAGGATTTCAGCAGCAAGGGCAAGGGGGTTTGCTCTCAGCAGCTTTCACTCCCCACCCCTTCCCCAACATTGAGTCGCTCAATCAGGTCCTAACCACAGTTGATCAATGAATTTAAACAAAGTTAAGTAGCCTGCAGCTGAGTTAATTCTGTGGTGATGGGATAATTTCCTTAATGGTCAATTAAGGCTTTCAGTTGACAGCTGAATGGGATTTTGCGAGGATCCTTCTGCCTATAATTTATTTAGAGGTGGAGATGAATAGGCAGCAGTGTTCAGATATATTATCATTCTGCCTAATTAAATGCCCTGTCCATCTCCAAGCTCATCACCAGAGAGAGCACAGTGTTGTGTCATGGAGCTTAATCATTTTAGTTAAAAATGCATTTGTGCAATATGTAGTTCATTTAATTTCTCTGAAAAGTTAATTCAGACAGTAGATGAGAATTAAGAAAATGATTGGAGGTACATGGAAGAATTTTGTTTCTATTCCATCAATTTTGCATTTCATTTACACCTATCAGCATTTTATTTTAAAAATGAGTAATGAGGTTTTTTTTAATTCATTCATTCATGGAATGTGGGCATTGCACATTGGGTCTGAATTTATTGCCATTCCCTAGTTGCTGTTGAGAAGGTGGTGGTGAGCTGCCTTTTGTCCATTTATTGCAGGCATGCACATAATGCTGTTAGGAAAGGATATTGACCCAGCTGAAGGAATAGTAATATATTTCCAAGTTAGCACACTGAGTGGCTTGGAGAGGAAACTTGCAAACAGTGGTGTTCCCAGGCATCTGCTATTTTTGTCCTTCTACATGGTAATGATCATGGGTTTGGAAGATTTCTTATAGATGGCACACGCTGCTGCTACTTTGTGTCAGTGGTGGAGGGAGTGAATGTAGTTGTGTTGCCAGTGTGTTGCTTTTTTTTGGATGGCATCAGACTTCTTGAGTGTTTTTGGAGCTGCACTCATTCATGCAGTCCTGATCTGTATCATGTAGCTGCTGGACAGTTTGTGTGTTCTGAAGGTGAGTTACTCACTGCAGAATTCCTAGCCTCTGAGCTGCTGTTGTAGCCACAGTATTTTTAAGGCTCATCCAGTTGGTTTCTGGTCAATGCTTATTCCTGAGATGTTGACAGTGGGGATTCAGCGAAGTTATGCGTACAGGCAAGCCATTCCAGGAGATTAAACTGGCTCATTAAAATGCCTTATACATTTTTATTGGTAATGAAACAAACGTTGCAAATCACTTAATGTGCAATTGGTATGTGACCACACTCAAATCTTCCTTGCCAATCTCCACACCCTGGCAGCAGACATGATGTGTTCGTTTTGCACCAACCCACTGATCTATTAATATTCAGTGATCAGGTAAAACCAAAACGTGGCTGCTAGGCAACAAAGATTTGCCATTTTAAGACTGGCTCCCATTGTAATCCAACCACATATTGTCAGCACATTGGCAATGAGAGACATGCTGCCATGCATCAACTGGCATGCTGAAGCATGATTCTGGTGCTTCCGTAATCTGGAGGAGTCTTCCAGTGGTCATTGGAGAGAAGATATGGATTTATGGTGCTCCATTGTCCACATCCAGACTATCATAAGAGCAGTGTTTTGCCACCGGTGATTCAGTGACCATCTCAGAACAAGGAGAGGGAAAACAGGAAATAGCCAGCACATCCATATTCCAGTCTGACATTGTAATTAAGTTGAAATCAGTTCCTGTGAACACAATCCGGAACTTCCTTGTGTTCCAAACCTCATCATCCCTCAGACATATCCCATAAGAACATTCCCTTGACCACAAAATGCAAAATTGAATTCCTCACAAGACAACCATTCCATTGCTTTATCCAATGAAACAGCCAAAATTCCATCAAAACTCAAAAATTACTCTTGTGTATTCGGTCAGTTGCTGTTTTGTGGTGTCTTTGCCTGTCCTAATGCTCTTACATTGTGTTACCCCTATGATCACAGCAAGGTTAATGATAGCTGAACTACCACAAGGGAAACTGCCAATTCTAAAGAGGTTGGTTTGGGTTCAGTATGGCTATCCACCCACAAGCGTCGGGTAGCCAACTGAAGCCAATTAACAGGTCTATTAATACCTCTGTCATTTCTAGTTAGCATGAAAACTTTTGTACCTTGGACAAAACACAGCCTGTGCATCATGATTGTATATGGGCAGGGAAAAGATGGTCCATAATTAATCTGTAAGGGACACCCCACTACTCAAACCTAACATAACTGCTTACTTTCGTATTTAAACATAATCAATTGAATATATGTTTATGCTGAAACATATGTCATCACAGTAACTGATGTAATATCACATGATTCAGTTTCCTTGCACAGCATGAGCAACAAGTCTCCATTAAAACTCTATATGTTCTGCCCTTCAATTTCATTTGTATCAACCTAAACGTATATGAAACACTGAAGTTTTCTTCAGAGTGCCTGTCTATCATGAGGCTTCCTCTTTCTGTCCATAATGAATTGGAGTCTCCAACCTAGACCTTTGGAACTGCTAACGTGTCAGTAATGAAAGACATTCCTGCCATCTATGGGAGCCTGCTGTCATCCTTAATTGAACAGCAAGCTCACTCCCAGCCGTTAATTGGCTGACATTTTAAAAATTGAGCTTTTAGGAATTAGCAACACCCCATGCAGAGTTGGGACCTGGAACTGGCCCTAATATTGAGTTACCAATTCCTGGAATGGAAAGCCACCCTAGGTTTTCTACATTATAATATTGACTAAACCTCAGAAATGGTTACATTGGCTGTAGTGCTTCTGTTCGTTAAAGGTACCAAATAAATGCAAGTTCTTTCTTTTTTGACACCAAAAACATTCTCCCATCTCCAGTTCTAAAGAAGGGTCACTGGACCTGAAACGTTAACTCTGATTTCTCTCCACCAATACTGCCACATCTGCTGAGAGTTTCCAGCAATTTCTGTTTTTGCTCCCATCTGAAATTTTTTTTTAAAATCTGCTGAAAGCAAAACTGGTAATCCAAAAAACATCAAAAAACATAATTATTAGCACTTATGGGGAAATATAAAATAAGTTGGCAATAATCATTTCTGCTTATCTGCTGAATAGGTATATCTTGGAATCATCAGCTTGAGCTCACTCAATCAGCACTATGCACATAAAACATTTAACATAATACATTAAATCTACAGTTGTTTCAAACATATCCAAAAATATTACTCAATTTCCCAATTGAGTAACACACGTGGGATCTGCCAAGAAAAAAATAAACAAAAGTGACTGCTATACAGAATAACCTCCCCAAGTCTTCAAAAGAAAGTTGAACAAATGATAAACAGCAGGAGATTTCTCACCAGAAAGTATACACCAAAATTTAGGTTGATAAAATGTATAAACACTTAAATTCTATGACCAATAGATTCATTCATTCTTATCTTAGAATTGTCAAGGGACAAGGTGA